CATCAGGAAGTGTTACATCTCATTAAAAACTACCGTATCTAACAAGGATGATACGATTTTCAATGAAACAAATATTTACCGAAAGACAAACGGACAAGGTTGAAACAACTAATGGTCATCGCACGGTCTCTTTCAGTAATGATGGGATTGAATAAAAAAAAAAACCCGCTTTAATACAAAATCTTACCTTTCAAGCAATCTATGAAGTTGTGGTTTGTAAAAAAACATGACAAAGAAGATGTGATATGATTGGCAATGAAACATTTTCCCATCAGAGACCCGAAAACGAGAATATAAATGACTAAATGGCACTGTACGTCCTTCAAAAACGAGCAAAATACATACCGCATATTAAGATAATAAAAATAGGCACCGGCATAACAAAATGTCAAAAGATTCAAGTGAAAAGTAACTCAAGCGAATAACAAACTAGCCTGATTTATGCTCAAAGCAAAAACTAAGTACAAATACGGCAGACCGCAAGCAACAAAACACAGTATAACAGTCTCCTGACAGGCGCATACATAATGTGGCGAGGTTAAAAATGTTCGTGAGCGCTGATGGCTTCCTTATCCGGACCAGTGGTGAATACAACATAAGAACAAACGAAGGGCTGGGTGCCAAAAACAGGTTTGACCCTCCAAATTATATATGTATGTACATTTTCCAAGTCAGGAGCCTGTAAGTCAGTAGTTGACGCTTGTTGTATATCATTTTGGTTTTTCGTTAATTGTTTTGTGCATAAATCAGGCCGTTAGTCTTCTCGTTTATATTGTTTTATATTTGTCATTTCGGTGATTTTGTTCATTGTTGAAGACATTACAGTGATTGTTGTTCTTAACTTCTACGTCATTTGGTCTCTGGTGGAGAGTTGTCTCGTTGGTAGTCCTATCACATCTGATTTTAATATGAAAAAGTTACCAGTCATACAACGATTAAGTTCATTGAAATCTCAAACGTCATTACAGATACGGGCATATCGAACGGGCAGAGAAATGTACCCACCGTAAGATGCAACAAAAAGGAAAAGAAAAATCTTTTTAACAATAAAATTTAGTATAAAATTTACCGTTTGATACTGAAATTTCCATATCTAGAAAAGAACAACTATTGCTTTTTATATTAGATTTATTATTTAAAGCAAAATATATCATCAAGGAAACGGTAAGTAATATTTATTCTAATGCAATTATTTTGTATCAATGGTTCTGATTGGATGACAATAAGCGTAAAATTCTCTATATCCCTGTCTGTAACTAAGGAAGCCGACATTTTGAATTCCTTTATAAAACGGTCTTTAGAACATAGTGCAGGGGACTCATAATCTTTTCAACTTCATTTCATGCTACATTTGTTGTCACAGTTAATAATATTTTTCGTGGTGAACCCCGGAGTGTTTATACGCATGTTTACGGGACGTACTATGGTATACCGTTGTCCGTCCGTCCGTCGTCAGCATGTCGGACAATAACTCAAAAACGCTTTAACCAATTTACATGGAACTTTGGTGAATTATTTATATCTATTGACGTGAGCTCCCTTTCGTTTTTTATAAATTTTAGATTTTACTTTTCCGAATTGTGGGGTTTTATTCATTAAAAAAAGGGGGATTTTCCAGTTTTCGAACAATAACTCAAAAATGCATTCAGCAGTTTTCATACAACTTCGGTGAATTGTTAATGTCTATTGAGGTATCTTCCCTTTCGATTTTTACAAATTTTAGCTTTTACGTTTCCGAGTTATGGGATTTTTTATTAAACAAAAAAGGGGTGATTTTCCAGTTTTCAGACAATATTTTTAAAGTGCTTTGTGCAGTGTTCATGAAACTTTGGTGACTGGTGTATATAGATTTAGATAACCTCCCTTTAGTATTTCATAAGTTTCTGATATGAATTGAGAAATTATTGAACTTTATTCTTTGAAAACGCGACAGGCGTATCATGTGCTCATAGCGTAGCTGTTTATTAAAAAAATGAGTAAGAAACCTACTGCACAGCAGTTAAGAATCAGGAAAATGCTATGTAATAAAAAATATTCTACTAAAAGAGGCCTGGCCCTCACTCCCAAAAAAGATATCCATTAATAAAAAAAAAACACACACACATGCACTCAATCCGACTCGTTTTTATTACCATTGACAATAAAATTTGAATTAAATTTCATTCATAATTAACATTGAAATGAATAGTTAATCAGCTTAACACACTTTATGTATGTACGTCTCAATCCAAATTTTCTATTCTAACATTAGATTGTTGAAATCACGAATATATACTGTACATGTAATTTATAAGATGTGACAAACAACAATATATACAAATGAACGATACTTGTTTTTATAAAATGTAAAGTTTTAGTACACCATTATCAAACTGATGAATGCATTGGTTTCGTGCCTTGAAAAGTACTTAATTTGAACCTTTTTTTATTGTTTTTAAACGTAAATACACTGACACATAACATTTTAAGCTATAGGAAGTTTGTATAATCACTCGATAAAACACAGACGCACTCGAAAAAAAACCCGGACTGCCCTCGAAAAAACCCAGACATATAGAAATGAATTTAGTCTCAAAATGTCGTTTTCAATACAATCACAAAATTTTAAAGTTTTTAAAGGATGTTTAGATTCCAGGTTTGCGTTTCCTTCGACAATTGCATTGGTATGTGTATAAAATTGGCTTTATTCTGTATTTTGGAATAAAAGCATTGTAAGGCTAAATTTTAATTTTTTAACAAAAAATTATTTCGGATTGATAATATTTTTTTACCTCAAATACAAACATACCATGTATAACCTAGTATATTAAACTCAAGCTTCTATATCACGTCTTGTCAGAAAGGAAGTCTGTTTGTTTGCATTTTTTATCATATTCACACGAAAAAAAGTTATCACTCTCGAAAAACCCGATCAAATCCGTCGAAAAAACACGATCCTAGCCGGACACTATACCTACCGTGAGCTTGTTCAATTAACAGGTTTAATGTCGCAGATATACAAGTTAGTCATGTTCAAATGAATTGAAGGATAATTTGTGGTTATCAAAACCCAATTGGCGAGTGTGAAATAATACAAATAAATTAAGAACCCTTGCTATTTAAATGATACCTATTAACATGAACCCATGCGTTGACTCGGTTATAGAAATATGGTAATCAGTAGACTTCTCCCATCTGGTTGTCAAATCCTTGATAAAGTTCGTCATCCTTTTTTTACATTGGTTGTATAAATCCGATGCCTCATGTAAGACAAGTGACCCGCATTAAGCTTCTTTTGAACTCATGCGACAAACCCTGTAAGTCCGTAAATGACATGTTGCGAGACAAAATTTCTGTCCCTATCCACCAATCCTTTTTTCGAAGGATAGTCCCAATGTCTAACCCGTCATCTATAAACCTACTTTGTAGAACATATTAGACAACAACACAGTCACAGTAATATGACAAAACACACACCACAGAAAGATTGAGCAATACAAACCCGATGAAATATCGAGGATGAATCGGTTAAACGTATCGTCTATGAACAAATGATTATAAAGATTTTATCTGATTTGTCTTGGACTGAATTTTTTATTTTTTTTTGCAAACAATTCGCAATTTGGTATATGACATTAAACACTTAATTGCGCTTTTGAGACTCTCCCCTTTAGGCGAACACTAATCTGTAAGTAACATATCCCCAAACATTGTCTTTCTTGTGACTGTCAATCATACCACATCTCCATTCCTTTATCAGCTTCCCAGTTGTAAATTTTCCATTTCTAGGTAGTAACATCCCAGCAGCGCCTGTATACGGAGTATTAATGTCCAAGTTGATAGGAAATACAAGTCATCATGATGTCCTTGAAAGAAGGTTTCTGCTCACCAGGAAGCTATTAAATCAAGAGTTCCAAATAATGAAGATAAAATCATTCATGGGTAAATTTTAAGGACGCAATTGGTTAACCGTTATGAAATATATGTTTCACAGAGGACGACGGATACGTTCCAAAAGAGAGGCAACAGATGCCAATGGGACATTCAAACTCATAAGTAACTGACAATGTAATGGCTCAAAAAGAAAAAGACCCACAGACAAACAACAGTACACAAAACACAACTTACAAAATTAAGGAATGAGCAACACGAACCCCATCAAAACCTGGGGCTAATCTCAGGTGCTCAGGAAGAGTAAGCAGATCCTGCTCCACATGTGGCACCAGTTGTGTTGTTAATGCAAGTACACACCTGGTGATGAGTCTAAGTTGGTAGGTCACATTCAGAAAAAAAAGGGAACGAGATTGTAGTTACTACAATTGAAACATATCCGTTGTCATCTGTGAAACAGATATTCCATAACGGTCAACTATTGATGGCGTCCGTAAAATTTACGATGGGATGATTTCAACTTTACCACTTGAAATTTTCGTAACTACATTCCCGTCCTCTTTTAACAAATTCTGCACTTGTATGGTAGTTTCACAATTTCTTGTCTTAAGAGTCATAAAACCTTGAAATAAATCCAAGCTTCGCTTTTTCGGTTTAGATGCGATAATGGAGTTTTCATTCAAACAAGTCATAATTCAAAAGTATAAGATTTGTCAACTTCAAATTAATATGGCAACAGAATCTATTACGAAACTGAATACTGAATTCAGATTCATTTTCACATTGAGTATGACTTTAAGAAATAATGTGTAAAAGTTTTGACTTATTTTATCACTTTTATAACGATATACAAGTTATATGCAAGAGATATGTTTAGTCCAAAGAAAATAGAGATAGACTAGTGCGTTTCTTTTGTTGTTGAGTAAATCTAATAAGGAGCAACAAATGAATGATAAAGTGCGTAGAATGTGTGGACGTTTTCCTCTTGATTTTTTTTTCTTCTAAAATTAAACTCCTCATTTCCGCAATGTATGTGGTGTTGATAATTTACCTAGAATACTAGTATATTGTTTAACACCTACGCATGACATGATGAAATGTACACAGAAATAATTAATAATAAAACATTTTACTCATTTCATTTACATTGTATCTGATCGTCAAGCATGCGAGCAGTTATTCGGTTTCGTAAGTAGACAACGTATAGTGCAGACTTGTGGCTAAGAAACATTTAAAATGAATGAAACAATCACGCTTGATGATATAATTGATAAACATATCGGACGTTTCATTGCACCGATTTCATTTCTTTGTTTATTGCTGATTTTTGGAATACCAGGCAATTTAGCCGTTTTATTCATATACGGTACCAAATATTCCAAATGTGTGTTCAGAGTTCTCATTTGTAATTTGGCTGTTGTTGATCTAATTTTCTGCACTTTAGGCATACCATTTAATATTGCTCGAATTGTTCACTATTATACATTTGATGGACGGTGGGCGTGCAAAATTATTACAGGAATAATTGTATTTGGATTCATGTATTCTGCTCATCTGGTGATGTTACTCTCAGTGCACAGATTCCGACAAATCTGTTATTCGATCAAAACTCAAATTTCTGTTAGGAACGTTCATTATTTCATCATAGCCTGTTTGGCTATCGGAATACTACTGTCATGGCCACAAGCAGTACTAATTGATATTGATGAGATACAAGTACAAAATAACATTACTACTCGCATCTGTCCAATTACTGCTGCGCATCCTTCGAAGTACTCGATTGCATACAGTACTTTCAATGTATGTTTGTTTTCAATTTATACTATAATTTTGTTTGTGCTATATTCTTTAATAGCAAGGAAAGTTTACCTACAACGCCAAAAACGAAGTTGTCTTCATACACAAACTTCTGAAAGTAATATGTCCGAAAAAATGACAAAGATTGCTTTCACTATTTCAGTGGTGTTTGCACTGAGTTATATTCCTCTTTTTTTTCTTAAAGTTGCAAAGGACTGGTTTGATGAGAAAGATATCAATGAAGTCGCATTTTCGACTTTGAAAATTGCTGAAAGATTTTACATCGTCAACCACGTTGCAAATCCAATAATATATGCTATATTTGACAAACGTTTTAGACGAAGTATAAGAAATCTTGCTTCTTTCAAAAGGAGTGCTGAATCTGGAAGCAAAGATAAACGCTACAATGTAGACCACTCAACTGACCATTCGGCAACTTACCATATGACAACTGACAATACAACATCCACGACAGTGATTTAAATTTGTCTAAGTAATCGTTGCATAGGATGATATCTTATAGGACATACACAACTTGATATAACAATAAATCGAACACAATCCGTATGGATTCCAGAAGTGTACCGGGAATCAAATTAGTAACATCTAAAATCTGAAAAAGAGAACAATATAGACAACATCAATGCATATTACCAACCTGATTTGTATAAATATTACTGTCTAAATTTTGCTACGATATAGAAACAGATCCAAAATTCAAATCTGATATTCATGGAACAGATTCAAAAAGTGTCATCATATGACATCATTACTTTTTTCTTATTTTGCACATCAGTTTGTAAACGCTTTGTTTTCTATAATGCTGTATTCAGAATTACAGTGAATGCACACGCTATAGTATTGTATGGCTGTGATATGCATTAGTTTTGTATGGCTGTGGTATGCATTACTATTGTATGGATGTGATATGGCGATAAAAGTGTATGTCTGTTATATGATGGTTCAAGATAACTTTATTAAAATAATGCTATTCCATATTTTCTCTGTGAATATCCTTTTGTCCATACCTAAGCATTTCACATATGCATGAAACATATACCTCACCTTACCATAGGATACCTATTTATATGTTTCATACCAAATATTAATTACAATACGATACACTATTTATACTTTTATTATAATATAGTCAATACGTATACATTAATGAATAGTTGACAGTGTTACCATATCTCAGATGTTATATATGTTGTGTACAAGTTATCCTTTTGTACAAATCATAATTTGTACAAAAAAATTGTACAAATTATCCTTTTGTACAAATCTTAATTTAATAAAAAATAATTATAATTTGTATTTTGACTTTGTACAAATTGTAATTTGTGCAAAAAGTGCTTGTACAAATTACAATTTGTAAAATTCACTTAAAACTTGTTCATTAATTTAAAGTATGGATTTTGTTTTAGAAATAGCATAAAGTGAAGTTATAAGTCAATTTTAGTCAACTTTTCTACAAATTGTAATGTGTACAAGCACATTTTGTACAAATACAATGGAGTAACATGTGGCTGGTAACATGTGGCTGTTAAATATTGCTAAGATCTTCCAAATTGTTAATTCGACCGTGTATTGTCATATTTAACTTTTTGTGTTATTTTTTAGCTGAAATATACTCTTAAGTACGAAGAAATAAGCAAAAGGAAATCATGATTTTAAATATACCGTATTAGCTGTGATACATTTTCTGGTACAATGTACACTGCCGCAATGTGTTATCTATTTTTACTGTAACTCTTCGTCTAATTACATGTATGTAGAAAATCATTGCTCGTCTGTGTGAATGAATAAATGCTTTAAAAACGGTTTACTAAGTGTGTTTCAAATGATTTTTATAACTCCCTTAGCATTGTCTGTCTCTATAGTCAACTATGGAATCCATTGAGTGGCGATATCGTGGTATTATACTGGTCATCCGCTCAGCACAATCTTGTGCGCTCGAGGACCGAAACCTTCAAAGCAATAGACACAACACAATTAAGGACATCAAAACCAAATTGAGGCACAAAACGAACAAAAAAACCGGCACATTTCATCTTTGTGGAAGGAATTTTAACTACAGTTAAGTGCTATTAATGATATTAGGATGAGATCCCCCAAAACAGCTAGAAAATCAATGATACGAAAAATCGATATACTAATGAACTAAAAATCGTTAAATTGGGTTTTTTTAACAGTTGTGTTTGCGCGTTACCCTGTTTCTGTTCTGTTGACAGATGCTGCCATGTTGAAAGTCATACGATTTCCCACAAACTTGTATATCTTATTACCAAAAAGAATATGGACAATGACACAATAAAATAAGATTCGTAATGCGGCGTTCACACAGGGCCGATTATGGCTCCCGTTTGAGATCAGACAGCGCTAAGACACGAAAAGTGAAAAAGTCGGATTACTATCCTCAATGATCTGGAATGTCCTATCATTGTCTGAACGTAGTCGTATACGTTCGTAACAGATTCATACGGATCAGGAATGGTCCGGAGAGATCGGCCAAGCTCCCCCGACAGTAAGGTGCGTCCCGTAACATTCGGGGAAAGTCAGCCGATTTTGTCTAGTTGGATTACAATCGTGACTTTGTCGTGACAGAATCTGCTGTAATAGATCAAAATCGTAACAATGTTCTGTGTTTTCTGGTCGGTGTCCTGGGGAACGGGCATGATCTGGAGAAATTTGTCATTGCTGTTTTTTTGCCGATTGAGTCCAGATTGCATCCAGATCTTGCCGAATGCGAACCGTCTTTGTTCCGGAACAGTCCCGTTATTAATACGAAATTCCGCAATAATACCCACGTCGGAGACCCGACAATTACAGAACACGATACGACGGAGTCCCGACAAAGCCGTTTGCAATGCGGTACAGCAGACTGTGCTAGGATTGCGTTCCGGTAGTACCTGATCATCCCGAATATGGCGATTTTTTTTATAGTACAGGACTATCACATGAAACGGTTATTTAACGGATATCTTCCGTCAGCGTCGGTTTACTGTCTGGTCACTGTCAGATCACAATCGGATCGCATGAGGCAGAATCGAAACGCTGTCGGGACATGTTCGGTCGTTTTTTTACAATGCGAAAGATACAAATCGAATTAGAATCGGATTGAGAACGGGATAATCGGGACAAATTCGGCTGGAAACGGCTGAATTTGGACGCTTCCTGAACAATATCTGAATTTTGTCGTGATTAAATAAATGTTTTTACAAATCTAAATTAAAGTTTGAATTTCCAGCCGCGATTCACCGGATCTTGATCAGACTTTTGACAAGTTCGGGAATGGTCCTATCAAGGACGGCAGTAAAAATCGTGAATGTGTGACCCCGGCTTAATACAGGTTTCGTCCTCTTTTACAGGTTACACCTGCCTTATATAACAATTGAAATGTATGTTATCAAAATTATATAATGGTAACTTCTAAACAACATTAGATGACTACCGATAGTGGTATTGACACGGTTGCCGTAAATGAAAATAATGAAAATAAAACATTTGTTTGGCTAAACATCCGAAACTACATTATATCTGCAAACGCTCAACCTGTAGATATACCTGGTGTCGCTGACTTTGAAGTTTATAAGTTTCCTGCAGATTTTGTCTCTTTATTTGTATATTCAAAATGGATATACGAGGTTTTAATATCGGTAAACTACTAATGTCTTTTAAAATATAAGGAAATGGAAACAAAAATAAGAGCTGGTTTTGTTTTCTCTTTATTATTCCTTCCTAATTTCTGAAGGTTTATTATGTTCTTTTTAAGTGCCACTATGTTTTACTTAAAGACCATTCTATTAAGTTTTGTAATCTAATATATTTTCACTCATTTTATTTGTTTTTAGTTTTTTCTCGTTGGTGAAGGCCGTATGGTGACCTGTAGTTGTTTACATTATTTTCCTTCTGTCTTTTAGTGGATAGTAGTGTAATTGGAAATCTTACCACATATATGTATTTTCTAATTTATTATGGAGGCAAATTGTTAACATTTGCTGATGCTCCTTGAAATTAAGATAACAATATACCGTTTCATTTATGCCGCCCTCGCAAATACAGAACAAGTTAACAACATGACCGTGTTCCTTGAAATTATCCCGATATACTGAACAAATCATTCAAACATCCTGTACTAAGTATCACATCCTTGTTATTTCATAAATGATTTAAATTGAAAAATAAATCAACTTAAATGTTAAATGATAATCAAATCGTTAAAAATACAATAACGTTTGATGGACCATGGATGTAAATCCATAGAATTTCATTGATAAAAATATGTCTTTTAATTTTTTGTGTCGTTTCGTTGCTGTCTTGTGCCAATATCGCCAAACTCGTCTTTTAATCATATACAAAACATAACGGCACCATTCCGTATTCCTTTTGTTTTGTTAGTAATTGGCATTTTTAGGAACGGTATCATTCTAATTATTTATGGTAAAAGATACAACCTGTCATTTTGCATGACCTTTATTAGGAATTTTAAACCTATTAATGACCTACTGTTTTGTATTAAAACCATACCAATTGCAATCATGCAGTTGAGTGTGTCTTTGTGATAAGTTCACTAGGGAATTGAAGTGTACAATGTTCAAAAAAGATTGATAATTTTATGCCTTCATCGAACCTGCATATGTTAATGTCCTTTCAAACAGGGTTGATTTTGATTGACAACTTTATGACATGTATGTTATTGCATGAAAGTTTGCAACAAGTAGTAATACAGCCACTAGTTGAGAAAAAGTCCATCTTGTCATCGCAGACATATCCAAAATTGCAAGCTACTAGAATTGTATTTGACATTTTTCGCTCAAATTAAAGTTCTGGTATTTGCGTTTAAAACGTTGTCAACACTGCATCGAGACTTGGGGCCTCTATAGTTTGCGGCTATTTAAATATATGAAAAATCTTCGTGTAACCTCTTTTCTAAAGCAGAAAGGTACATCTAATTAGATTTTGTGTGTATTCTTATAATATATCGATAATTATAATACTTTTTAATAACAAAATTCTTTAGAAAAAAAATAGAACCGACCGATCTTCTGAAACAATGCGAAAACCCAGTAATTGGTAAAATAATATTTCACTTTGATATGCATTCTACTTAATACTCTGATCCAGAAGAAAATATAGATCATGGAAGTTTAACACAACATTATTATCTCTATTCACAAGAAAGAGCGAACATTGAATTACTATACTTAGCATCCCTGTAATGCCTTGTAATTTGAGTTGAGCGGTTGAAGAAATGATATTATTTGTTGAATGTCAGTAAAAACTATTTGAAATAGAATTTTGCATGTAATACTCTACATATTAGGTAATTAAGATATCGGTAATGATCATGTGTTGATTATGGGATTCAATATCTTAGGTTTCATGAAACAATAGAAGGAGATTACAGTTTTACCCTGACGATGCAACCGGTCTAATAGCTTTTTTAGTTCATGCGATTCCCTCAGTTTTTTTTTTATTGTTACCAAGATTTGTCTCTTCCTTATCGATTCACGATATATGAACATCGGTAAACTACTGTCGAATTAAGTATGGACATATAGGACCGTGTATTGGCCTTTTAATTAGATGGTATTATTGTGTTGTTGTCAATTTCCTTATGTGACGGTCATTTATCGATACATGCGATGATCTCTTTTTACAAAAGATAGTGACCACGATGTTTATGTCATGTTTAAAAAATGCATTAACGATACATTTCGCACATACCCAGATCAGTTACTATATGACTATTTGTCTTTCATTAAAAATAAGCAGTATATCTAGTACTGCTGTATAAATACAGAAAGAAGACTGAGCGTTTGCAAGTTTTTAAAAATGAAGACTGCTAAAGGGGAAACAAATCCTACCTAGATAATAGAATTGAAACTCTATTATCCTTAACATTCTGGTAAACTGTTTTAATTTCACAACCATTTATTGCAAGTAAATAAAAAATACACTTAATAAATTAAAAGGAATATTTCTCATAAAAAAACAAGCTTTTAGAAACCTAGAACGACCATTAATCAGACTTAAGCTAAAACAGCAATGCAAATGTTTTTGTCCCTTTGAATTCAAACTTTTAAACAAATAATCACAGTTAACAATTTAAACGAATTTATACTTTGATTTTGCTCTGTATGAAACTAGGAAAAACTGCGAAGACGAACATCCACTTCAACCGGACAAACAAGATATGACGCTCTCCATTCTTTCAAAATTCTAAGTAAATCACAATTTAAAACAGCCATAATTCTGCCAACAAGAAAATAATCCTTTAAAACCTTCCTATTTATATTCTAAACACTATCATCAGAAGCAAATTCTAAGAATCTAGAAATGAAAATCCTTCCCAATTTCACATAACTGGTTTTGGAATTTTCCAATCAACGATTGAAGTCTTTTCTGAACTCCTTACTTGTAGACAACAAAGCCCAACATTATTAAGCCAAGTAGGTGTAACATCTTATGTTATTTTCTCACATAATCAAACCACTAAACACTAAGAAGACACACCCTGGACAGTTGTACAAGGGGCCAAACATTTATATCGAGCACGTGTTATAAAAATCAGATTCAAATTTTCAGCTTTATGTGACGTCTAAGCACCCTTGAAGTCGTAGATAGATAGACAATTTACACATCACAAATTTTAACAATATGAAAAAACTGCATTTTTGATTTTTTCACAAATACATATATATATATATATGTAAGTACGTCTAACCAAGGCTCCGTGTTGAAGGCCGTACTTTGACCTATAATAGTTTACTTTTACAAATTGTGACTTGGATGGAGAGGTCTCTCATTGGCACTCATACCACA